GTGGAGAACACATGGGGTGCTTTTTGCTCTGAGTTGAGTTTTTTTCAACTTGAGGAGTTCAGTGTGCTCCAGCCTAGAGTGCAGAAACACAAGGTGCGTAGCAACGCTAAAACAGCAAAAAGCTTCATTCTCATTGAAAACAATAACAGAAAGCCTCCTCGAGCTGCTGAAACGGTTTCTGTGTGATCGGAGCCTTATTCTCCATTCAGCAGGTTATTCACAGTTAACTCAGGTAATTCTTTTAATCCAAAATCAAAGTCCAAGAACAAAGTTTAAACATCTTTCAGGACAAAAAGGTTCCCTTCAAACAGAATATGAAAAGGCTCAGTTTAAGGTGTCTTTTGCCATTTGAACAGGTTTTAGTCTCTGAGGCTGCTTTCACACCTGCCCTGTTTGGTTTGGTTCAGTCAAACTCAGGTGTGTTTGCCCCCTCAGTGCGGTTCATTGTGCAGGTGTGAACACACCAAAACAACCGGACTGAGACCTTCTTGAAGAGGTGGTCTCAGTCTGGTTCCAAAGGAACTCTGGTGCGGTTGGTTTGTGGTGAGAAGGTGTTCCGACCTGGATGTGAAGCAACTGCAGTCACATGACACATTGTTTGGGTTAAACATGAGCATGTTACAGTCCTGGAGGATTATTAATGTGCACCTCCTCCTGTACTGCCTTAATATGCACATTCAGCACATCCAATGCATCAAAACATTGTTTTCTAGTTGGAGCCGCGCCTCGTTTTCAAACTGTATGGTTTGACTAAAATGAACAATGACAGCAATATAGTCCACGATGAGCAGCGCTAAAATCAACCTGCGTAGTTGTCCCTCCATTGTGACATTAGAAAGTGTCACATTTATCTTGCAAGTGTACTCTTCTTAAACGTTTGCTTTACTTCCTGGATTTTTCCCACATGGAAATTCTGACCAATCAAGAGCAGCTTTCTCACACAAGGCATTTGATCTGGTCCTCTTGTAAATGCTGCCGTGAGAACACCAACCAACTCTAGGCAATTATACAACTTTGGAACAACATGAGTCCCTGATTCAGACCAGAGGAGACCACTCTAGGGCTGACAGCAGCCTCAGACACGGTCCTGAACGTCTCTGGTCTCTTCAGAGTCGGTCCTCCTCTAGCTGCGTTTTCTCCGTCCTACTGCTGCCTTTGTTCTGCTCCTCAGTCCTGCTTCAATTAGGTGGCTTAAGCACCTACACTTGTGAGTGGTGGGGCATTCTGGGAGATGCAGTGTGTACCATGGCGACCATTTTGTGATGTTGCTGCCAGTCCTGTACTGGAATGTGTCACCCCTCTACTATTACAAGGAAGTGACATCCAGTAAACCAGTGGCAAAGAGGAAAGGGGCTTTTACCCAGCAGCCCCAGCGGGTTAATTTGGCCCTGTATATGAAGAAAATAAGCCTCGCACATAATGACCTTCACTTGAAGAAGAGAGGGGAACAGGATTAGACGACTGAACTCTCCTAAGCTCTTTAATTGTATTCATTGAACACCAGCAGCTCTGCTTTTACCCTCTTCATAATGAAGTGCTCAATTTTATAAAATTAGAATATTATTTATGAAGCCAGAATCACTTATTAGCTCTGCTCAGTGTTACTCAAATTTGCTGGGGGGGGGGGGGCTCCAGACAAATCGGGAGGCATTACAGCACTGTGTCGTCTTCCCAGTTCCATGTCCATAGAAACTGGTTTAACAAATTGTGTGTGCTGAGCTGTCTGCTCCCAAGTCACAGCAAACGACAGCACAGTTTGTTGATAGAAATGAGCCGGAGCTGAGGGATGTGGGAGGCACAGATACATGCCTCTCTTCTCTAGCAGCATGGATAATCCCAGAGAGATGGCGAAATAGATAGGAGGAGGCACAGGGAGATACATATCAGCCCACCCGAGAAAATGAGAGCCGGTCGGGTGAAGAGCTGCGCCTGGAAACAGTAATAGGATGGAGCAGAGAGAGACCGACATCACGCCGCCGCATCACCAGATAACAGGAAGGAACGGCCGAGAAGAAAGAAGCAAAATAAATGAGAATGAAGAGAGAGGGATCGGTGTCAGCCCGTCACTGTGCTGTTACATTATTAAAGATACACTCAACACACACACGGACAAAATGGAAGGCTTCACCACTCTGAGGAAGAGTCAGTAATGAAGAAATGTGTAAATGTAGGAGTGTGTGGGGGAGAAGCAGAGCATGATTCACTGAGATCTCTTAGCTGAATTAAAAGATTGTGTTGGTTCATGAAGTAAACAACAGTGAACGAGCTGAATCCATGAAAACATTTGCTTTGAGAATGTCCCACCTGTTTGGGACGACAAGGAGTCACCAGAACAGAGTCCTGCACCCGCTCATACCCGCACCAGGACAGACCTGTTCCCGACTCACAGCAGAAACATAACTTGTTTCTTCATGTGCAACATGTTAGTCTGGAGGTTTAGACTGGTGTCCTCTCACAGAGTTGGTGATTCAAACTAAACTTTCATCTGAGTTCAGCCTGTTTACTTACAGCACAGCTACACTCACAGATAACTGAGCCTCCTACCTGCCTGTCAAACACCATCAACCCACAAACCTTCTCCAGTCCGGACTGAGTGGAGTCCTGCGGGGTGAAGCTGTGAAGTCTGTGAGCGGAGCTAGCTGCTAACAGCCACAGCTTCAACTAACAAACTCCACAAATCCATTCAGCAGCTCCACCATCCACAGTCAGACACACACGGCTGATTATTTACTGCTGAATTACAGCTCACAACTCGCACCAACCCAAACATCCTGGTGCAGACTATTTACTGGAGTTTACCAGCCTGTAGCTCATCAGGCATCTGAAGATCATTACAAGAACAATGTCCGATAGTCCACAACATTTTTTGTCACATCTCGTCAATGAACATGAAACATAGATTGTGTCTTTGGGTTCATTATCAAGATCTATTTTTAGCTCGTCATCGTCTTGTTTTCATCATGAAAAAAAAGGTCATTGATGAGAAATTTTCATCATAGTTTTCGTGTTTCCCAGTGAGCCATGCCAGACAGCATGCACGACTCCAGAACCCTGGAACACACTCACCTAAATGAAACGCAGTTGATTATAAGGTTATCCATTTCACCTGTGAGTTTTCAACATTGCTTTCTGGTTGAAAACTGGTTGATATTTGACCGATTTTCAACCTGGTAAAATGTGGTTGTATCAGCATGTCACAAAAACAAATTTGTTTCATCCCAGCGAGCACTTTTCTGTTGAGAAGACATTTAAAACATGACCTGGTCTTGAATGAAAGTTTGTTGGACCCATCCCTCCTGCCCCACTTGAACTTTCGCCGCCTTAACTTTCATCCTTGTCCCACTGCATTTCCCCCTGACGCCGCTGGTTGCCATTAAACTATAACAGCAACCAGCGGCGTATCATACCGATGTCAAAGGACGCCTTTTTTTGTTGGTTTCTGACGCCACATGTCACCGCCCAATCACCGGATTTCGACAACTTTGAAGTCAGACAGGACTCTTGTTGTTGTTGTTGTTGTTTTTGTTGTTGTTGTCTTTTTTTGGTGCCTAAGCGACCAATGAAATCTTGCCAACTAATAACCTTCAGGCTGACTAACATTTGGTCGTCTGTTAATATGGAAGCTGTGGACAGTCCCACATGGGCCCCACGTACAGATGTTGGCTGGGATCCGGCCCTGGTTCCTGTGTGACTGAGCTGAAATAACAAGATGAGATTCAGTGGACAATTAAAGCATCCCATAATAGTCTTAATGAGGCTTTTCCACGCTGGCAGAAATACAGTCGCTGCAGAAGAATGTGATTAAAGTGTGTGTGTGTGTGTGTGTGTGTGTGTGAGCACCTGCGTCCACGAGGTGAAGTTACTCTGACGCCTCATTAGTATTTGTCCATGTAACCTGGCGGTGAGGAGGAGGAGGAGGAGGATGAAGGGCAGGAGAGGGGGGTTGCTGTCGGAGGAGGAGGAGGAGGGGGAGGGGGGAGGGAGGGATGGATGGATGGCGGGAGGAGGAAAGATAAATGAGCGGGGCTGTGTTAAGGGATTGCAAATTCAAAGTGGTTTGTGAAACGGAGAGACTGAGCATCCCTCCTCCTCCTCCTCCTCCTCCTCCTCCTCCTCCTCTCACACTCTCTCATGCTGCTGCAGTCCGCCACAATCTACCGCACAGACCTGCGAGCTCACACGGCTCCGTCATTTGCTCCGCTCTCTGCCGACCGAGCGACCGCATTCCAGCACCGCTGTGGCATCATCATCCTCCTCATCCTCATCTTCCTCACATCGACGCCATTGGATTACTGCAGACGGACATCTGTCGTGTTTCTGTGGTGTTCCCGTGCAGCAGCGTGTTGTGCGCGTGCTAACGAGCCATGAGCGTGTAGGCGGACTGATGAGGAAGGGCAGATACATGACGAGAGGATCCGGACACAGTAAAACTCCTCGTGCGGCTCCTTCGTCAGGAGGTGAAGGCACGCGGTGACATAACGAGCGGAGTTTAGTTTCAGCACCTCGGACAGCGCAGCCGGATTTCATCACCTCACCGCGGCTTGATTTTCAGCTCAGTCTGTGACGTGGAGGAGCTGTGTGTTCACCTCCTCACTTCTCCTCTGCTCCTCATTGGTTGCATTGAATGAGTTGCACAGGATGGTTTTTGCTCTGGCAGAGTAGCTCAGTGTCACAGGGCTCACTGACTTGGAGACTTCACAGCAGGGTCTGTCAGCTGTTCGATGCTGTCTCTGCATCAGCTCATTATAAACTGAGCCACTCAGTGTTCTCCATGTGCCCCCGTCTCTGAGGAACGCCACCGTGTGCAGCACATGGGAATTCATTCCCCCTGACCACGCACAGTTAAACGGTGCAGACTCAAAGCTGATCGGTTCAGGAGGAATAAAGTGAGCGAGCCCTTCAGCGTGCAGCAGCTATGGCTCGGCTCTGCCACAGCCTCCTCGGCAGGTCTCTGACCCTGACCCTCACTGTGCTCCTCTCCTGCTCCTGCCCGGCTCTAGGCAAGAAGAAGCTCTACATCGGAGCCCTGTTCCCCATGAGTGGAGGCTGGCCCGGAGGACAAGCCTGCATGCCCGCCGCTCAGATGGCTCTGGACCTGGTGAATAAGAGGACCGACATCCTGCCGGACTACGAGCTGGAGCTGATCCACTATGACAGTATGGTGAGTAACTGACACACTCTGGGCCGTCACTGTGAAGCAACACATAAACTCATGCTGTTAGTTTGACACAATGTTTAATGTTAAATCAACAATTTTTGAGTTAATTTGACTCCTTTAATACAAATGATTTCACCTCATTAGTTGAAGGCCAACTGAGGCCAGTTGGAGCTAAAGAGGTGGAGCAGCGCGCCGTGCAGTCTGACAGCTGTTTTAGGTTGAGTCTGAGTCTTGAGATGAAAATGTCAAGTAGTTAAAGTCAACATTTAGTCACAATGTTTTCTGTCTCTTTAAACTGATCCAGTGAGTCTGATTCATGGATCATAAATCAGACTCAAGGCGACAGGTTGTATAAAATAATGTGTGTGTCATGTCTCCAGCAGTGTGTGACAGGTTTAAGGGCTGATTTACGAGCACACACTTACTGATC